ATTAAATCTTATAAAATTGATATTTTGGTCCTATATGGCTATATATTTAGATCGTGAGCTACTTGGATCCACAAATTATGCAATTGGTCTTAATACGTTTGAATTTGTTAAAATTGGTTCCAGATAACATTGAAGTAGCTGGGAATGCTAGTGCTAATTCACATTTCATAGCTTTCTTATTAGTACATAGTTTGTAATTTTAACATTTGAATTGAAGGAATAGAAGCTTCCAAATTTTACAATGTTATGTGTCATTTGATATCCAATAAATTAGTATCATAGCTACAAAAGTAAAAAAATATTAATAAAAAATACAGAATTAGATAATAAATAATTGATTATAAAAATGTTAAAAAGGAACATAATAAAGGAAAATATTACAATCCATTCTTGGGGAAGCCAACGTTTCATTTATATTTTCCGCCCAATGAAATGATGTCAATGGCTCAGACACGCCTTTTGTTGTGGTGTCCCTTCAGACCTTACAAAAAAACAACATTTATTTTATATATTAATAAAAAAAAAGGGTAACCACTCCAAGAGTAGAGTATGAGTATATATAAAGGGCAATGGCCAATGAAGCTGAACTCTTAGATCAGCTATAGTATTATTCTTTCTTCTTTGTGAAAATTGGAATGAAGTGGGAATTAATGAAGAAGATATACCCCAACGGGAATGGGTTCAGCCGGAGCCCTTCCCCTTCTTCTTCTTCCGGTTGCAGCGATGATGATCCAATGGTAGTCCTAACAGTATGGAAGAAATCGTTGGTTCTCAACTGCGAGGGATTCACCGTATTTGATGCCAATGGGAACCTTGTCTATCGGGTTGACAATTACATCAACAGCCCTCGCAGAGTTGGGGTATCCAATTTCAATGAGATCTTCCTTATGGATGCCTTGGGAAACTCTATTCTCACCATCCGCCGCCAACGCAAGGTATCATTATCAATCAATTCTGCTAATTAATATGTATTATGTTTGTTTTGACAAGTTTCATTAAAATTGCCCGAATGTACAGAAGCTGGACAGCAGCAACTGGTTTTTGTACGACGGCGAGACCACTGATAATCCGAGGTTTACGGTGATGAAGAGGANTCAACAGCAGCAGGAAATGGGCGGCTCATGTCATCAGCAATGATAATAATAATCATAATAATTATGTGATTGAGGCGAATCGCTGCTGCTGCAGTGTGTATGATGAGAAGCGGAGGAGGCGAGTGGCAGAGCTGAAACCCAAGGAAACTTGTGTCAAAGGCCTCGCTTTTGGTGCCGATGTTTTCCAATTGCTTCTGTTCCCTGATTTTGACCCCTCGCTTGCCATGGCAATTGTTATCCTCCTCGATCACATGTAAATATTTTGTTGTAATCATCTAATTCAGATGTTTTGGTTTTTTTTCATTTTAAATAAAATAATCTCCAGCTCCGGACCCATAGCTTACTAATCTCTCCTTGAAATACATAAAATTTTCATGATTTGGAGATGAGATTAGGGTTGAGTTAGAGAGGTGCAAGTGTGTTCGATTTTGACAGATTTTTTTATGCTTAAATATTTAATTTAGGTTGAGTTAAATTATACAGAAGATTTTACATTCTGATTAGATACTCTGTATATTTATTTTCTGAAAATTGATTTTCAGTGAGTGAGAAATAAATTAATAAAGATAGTAATTAATTGATACGTAAAATCTTGGTTGTAGGATTCGACTTAAGATTATTTTTGGATAGCTCACAACTATAACAAAGATATGCATCATGTGTTGGTGATGGCTTTAGCCACACACACGTGCGCCTGTCGGCTTGGCTCACGCCTTGTACTCAGCAATTGGACTATGGGCTGGACATAGGCGGCCTTGTACGGTCTGGGTCGGTGGGCTCAGGCCTTCTACTCAGCAATTGGACTATGGGTTGGACTTAGGCGGCCTTAGACGGTCTGGGTCGATGTTGGGCTTTGGTGTTGGATGATCTATACATGTAAAAATTAAAAAATGAAAAAAAAAACTCGTAAATAAAAATTAAAAAGACCAAAACAAAATTTCTTTTGTAACAGTACACCATTATTTAATATGTATTATAAATTTTGATAGTGAAAATTCAATTTTGAGATCGAAGAAAAACGACTTAAATGGCGAGTACACTAGTACGCGCAAATTCAAAAACAAAAAAAACTCGTAAATATAATTGTTAAAAAGGCTAAAACAAATTTCTTGCCACAAACACCGTTATTTTATGTATAATACAAACTTAGATGGTGAAAATTCAATTTTAAGATGGAAGAAAAACGGCTGAAAGAGCATGCACAACTGTACACTAAAAAATACAAAAGAAAAAAAAATCATAATATTGGTTAAAAAGTCTCAAACAATTATTCTTTGAAAAAGTACACCAATATTTAATGTATATTAAAAACTTTGATGATGAATATTAAATTATGAAATGGAAGAAAAATGACTGAAATGGCGTGTTCTAATGTACACGACCAAAAGGGCGTGTTCTAATGTACACGCAACAATTAAAATGAAAAATTCACAAATAATGGTTAAAAGTCCCCAAACAAAATTTCTTTCGCCAGTATACTATTATTTAATGTATATTGCAAATTTTTAGGGTAAAATTCAATTTTGAGACGGAGGAAAAACGACGGAAATGGCGTGTAGTAATGTACACGCAAAAATTTAAAAACAGAAAAATTCATAAATAATGGTTAAAAAGGCTCAAACAATATTTTTTCGCCACTATACACTATTATTTAATGTATAATATAAACTTTGATGTGAAAATTCAAATTTGAGACGGAAGAAAAATGACTGAAAGGTTGTACAAGCAAACATTCAAAAATAAAAAAAACTCGTAAATAATGATTAAAAAGGCTCAAACAAACTTTCTTTTAACACAGTACACCATTAGTTAATGTGTGACGCCCACTTATTGTTCCTTTAGAAAACACTCAGTTTTCCAAAATAAATTGAATCTTTAAAATATTTTTGAAATTAAACTCTTTCGGGCATTACCCAAAAACTCTTTCTTTCTACTACTTGAGTCAAAATAAACACATTCACAAAGTCTTGAAACACACAGTTGAAAATCCGGAAGCAATAGAATAGTTAAATAAATACTTCGACTACCCTCGTCTCCTCGTGACCTCCGCCGGCTACTTAATTTGAAAACAATTAATGTATGAGGGTGAGCAAACAACAAGCTCACCTGGAAAAACTATGAAATTATGCAGTATATATACTGTCTCCATTCATTAGTCGTTTCATGTATACACATCTTTACTGTTGGCTCGCCGTCACATAGGCGCTCAACAACAGGAACTGAAAGCGCCACACAATCATATGCACCACACAGTCAAATTTATCACTCACACAGCATAAGCATAGATTAATACACATACATCAACTGTGAAATCATGCAATTATAAAACATAACGGCATAGTCACCCACACCAAAAATTCAAGGGTCTCACACAAGTCTAGGTAAATCTCAAGAGTTCCAAGCCCACACTTTTCACAAGCTTTACTCAAACTTAGAGATACAAGACTTTCACTATAAAAAGGATCTTAATGCACGAAGTAAAAAGAAGATTTCCGAGATTCACTTATCTTTGGCAATCTACACGCACAAGAGGGATCAGATCTGAAATTTAGAGGCCTCGGTCGCGCGTAGATCCTTGGCTGCTCGCGTGTGGCCTCGGTGGCTGAACGGACACAAACAGGGGATCGCTGGCTCAACGATTGCGGACGAAGGCTCCTGCGGCGGCGTGCGGTGCTCGCAGGATACGATGGCTGGCTGTCGGGGCGCGGTTGTTCATGGCGGTGGCTCTCGCTGGTCGCTCGCTTCGGCTCGCGGTTTCTTGTCACGTCGGGAAAGTCGGACGTGGATTTTGAAAGTGGTGCAATGTCATTTCCATCCATATTTGCTTGCTGTAGGGCGCTTCTCTTAGATGGTCTCCACGAGGATCTGAACCATGTGAAATGTAAACCTTGTGTCGAAGCTGATGGCCGTCCAGATGAAGAAGTAGCTGGT